TGAACATTGGCATGTGTTGACACGACTCTTTGCAAGGCGGGGAACAAAGAGACCCCGTGAAGAAGAAGCGTTTCCTGACATTGAGCAGCAAGCAACACCTTTGCACATTCCAGTTGGTCCAAGTCCAAGCACGAGATCATCGAGAGCAAGCAGAGAAGTGACGCCCAGGCCCCCAGTCTTTCCTCCGATGCCTGCTGACCCACCGGACAGGTGGGAACCATGGTCGCCGGAATGGTTCACGTATTTCATGCTCGGAAGAGTGAACCGGAGGATAGAAAGGCGGGGCGGTCGTATGTCTGAATCTGACAGAAGAAAGTATGAAAAAAGGCAGTGCATTTTAGCTTCTCAATTATCAATTTTAGCAAAACAGAGGTCCGGGACCGAGAATGAGAGCCCATCAGTTTTGCAGAAGCATGGCAGACCTTTCACCTGCAAGCAGCAGTTCAGCAGGGCCATCCGTCCCGGAGTTGGAAGAGCCAGAACATGAAAGTCGAGTTTCAGAGATGTTGGATGCATGTGATGGTTATTTTCATTCAGTGAAATCTCCCAGGGAGGCAGTTGCCTTCAAGTTCAAGTTCAGCTGCATACACAAATACAGAACACCCACCAGGAGGACTCCCCGAGATTCCAGACAATACAGAAGCAGACTTGGAAGAGAACGTGAGCGAGACTTCCAGTGCTAGAGGAAGAAGATACCGCAATTCGAGTTTGGAGGAAGTAAGCGACCCTGAGCTTTGGATGTTGTGGCATCATTTTGATACAACATCTTCATCTGAACCAGATGAGCAGGGCGCAAATGCAGAACCGAATGTTGGTGATGAAAACAATCCAAGCACTGGGAGCTGATTTTACATTGTACATTGATTATGCCAAAATGTTGAATGCGTGTTGCATGAATGTTTCCGTGACACATCTGAACCACGGTTACATATGGATATGGGTGTGCTCCATCTGAACCACATCCCATACAATGGAATTTACAAAGGACTTTGTGGAAATTGTATCAAAGCATACCGGAACGGCTCCGACATAGTTTAGCAAGCAAAACTTGTCGAGAGGACTTTTCCTGTGATTAGCAATTCTCGACATGTTTGGAAACACCATGTATAGATGTGGTGTAAGTACTAGAACGTACTACACCAAGGCGGGGTGTCAAGGATCTTTACATGTCAGTGTGGCTAGGTACACGTGCAGATTTGTGTAGTTGAGGTGCCACTTTTTGCTAGTTCAAAACTTACTCCGTGTAGCGCTTTGTGTCTCAAAAAAAAGCGTGCTACCAGACACGAAAGCTACCCCACTTGGGGGATACGGTGTATCAGCCGAAGATTCTGATGAAGAAATGGTCCCCATGAGTGCAGCTCCAGTGCAAAAGTGCCAGATCAAGCAAAACGTATGCTTCGATGATGTCAATGAAGGGATTAATCTGGTCGACGTTCACCCTGAATCCAACAAAGTATGGAAGGAAGTCACCAAGAAAACCCTTCGGCCTGATTTGATCGATGTACTACACGGACAACGAACTCAGGGTTCGATGTCTTTTGATGAAGATGAATGTTTTTCCACCACCAAGTAGTACGGCGTCAGGAGAAAAAATCAGGATCAAAAAAAAAAAATCGTTCTTGCACACATCTTGAATTTTCACAATCAAGATACCTGTGTTACCCTCTGTCAAGCTCAGTGAGCGATCTAATGCTCTTAAATAGCATGATCCTTTTTGCAAATCAATGACAGTCCCTAACTGCTTCATGGTTGGAATTGACAGCATTAGTGGGGTTGCTTTCGAAACGACTTCGACGACAAGTCACAAACGAGTCTTTCTATGCACTATAACTATAGGTATGAGTATTTGTTTATGGCTGTGCTCTTTTTGGCTATTGCCAAAACAAAATGCGACTCTGCTGGCTCGTTCTTTCACACGATCACGGGCTGTGTCTGGCAATTGGTTCAAGAGCTGTGGGAGCTTTTCATCTCCGATCACACTCCTGCTGGCTCCTGTATCCAAGATCGCTTGACCATTGGTCTGAAAGCCAGCCGTCATTCCGGCTTTACTGGTGAATCCGGCTTCGAGCAAATCTTTCTTTGGCTTCGGTCTTGGATTCCTGGCTTCGACACGGTTCGAATTAATTCGATGAGCAAAAAACAGTTTGGTTTTGAAATAACCTCTTCTGCAAACAGTACAGGCTCGAATGGCTTTGTGGCTGGCTCTTCGAAGAAAACATTCATTTGGCATTCGTTTCTTTCCCATTGACTTTTCCCCCAACCCGACCTCTGAGCTGGAGTCAATCTCTTAGTCTTCGAAGATCACTTGGCTGCTTTGCTCTTGGCTATCGCACTCATGCGAGGCGGATGCGACATTGGCGTTTGATTCTTTCCCTTTCAATGGGACTCGGCTTTCCAGTGCCCCAACCCTCCGCACCGTTCGCAATGCGTACGAACGATGCGACTCAGCAATTAATGTTTTCCTTTGGACTGTATTTTGCGATTTGGCTGAAGCCTCCAAAACTCCTTCTGATGAACCTCTGCCGATAGGCCAAAAGCCTTTAGCGCGCTTTCGCTCAACAAGTCTGCCCCGAGCTTCCTGGTAGCTGAGTAATGTGTGGAGATCCGGGACCTCTTGAAACAGCTCTGTCAACTGTTTCTCAAAACTCTGAACGGTCATGGCGTCTGCATCATCTGTGTTGGCCAACTGATCAAGAAGCTCTTGAGTGACCTCGTCCTTGGCCATGGTAGTGTACAGATTCTGGTCCATACTCATTTGATTTGTTGGGTCCTGAGCAATGTCCAATGTCTCATCAACATAGTTCGTTGGATACTCCTTTTCTTTTCAGCTCCTGAATGGCTTTGCTCTCAAAGACCCCATTGGTGATCGTGGGCCTTCTTCCTGTCCTCATGTCCCACATTGCTTTGCTTCAACAGAACAAATGCCCGAATCGACTTGAGCATCGCGACCTGACCGACATCCTCAAAAGCAACGTCCAGTCTCTTCACGAACTATTGTGTGGACTCAGCGTTCTTCTGAACTGTCTTGTAAATCGCCTTCTCAAACAGCTCAAAAGTCTTCAGCTCAGCACTTTGCTCCCAGGCAGCTAAGGCCGATAGCAAATGCTTGACTCCGGATTCAGGATTCGTCAACAGATCTGGCTTGATGTTGCAAAGCTGATGCCACGCTGCCCCCTTACACAACCAAGCAAGTCGTGGAGCCAACATATTCCTGTCCTGCTTAGGACAAGTCCGTCCAGGAATCGAACCTTAGCAATGTAATTGCTCCTTCACATCATCCTGGGATGGATCAAAGCTGGGCAACATGTTCCAGATCCCTCTAAACTTTTCGTCCGAACTGGCAGCTTCCGAACCCATGGCGAACCCATGGCTTCCTAACGTCCACGCTAGGCCGCTGCCAATGTGGCTGGGGTTACCCAGCTCACACTGGCAGCCTCCTCGCACAGCCAACTCTAAAGGATTCCTGCCTACCGACCAAACTCCAAAAGCGGGCCTCCGCCCAAATCAGCTCTTTTCTCCAGCCGTTCGTTCCGTTGTGTCCTGATCCTGGCCTTGAGCCACGGGGTGTGGCGAACATTCGAATGTTCCTGTGACTCCCTTGGACAAATCGATTCTCACACACATATACAAATACATATATAAACACATACCCGCAATCTATTCAATACTGATGTTTTGAATCATTTTGCGAAGACCGCGCATGTCATGTGAGCAAGTTGCATCCCACACTGCAGCCGTTAAATCTCACAAGAGACTGTGAATTGTTTTTTGCAATGGAATAGGCCACCACCAAACATGCGGCGGAGGTTTGATGATGACTGACTTGGCTAACCAGTCAAGTGCATCAAGCTCCGAAGCAGTAGACAAGCATGAGCTCATCTTTACTTCAAGGCCGGCACGTGGCAGTTTTGGCCAGATACTTGCCTTTCTGACTGAGTTGCAGGAGCACTACTGACCCGATGGATGCCTATGAAGAGGCCCGCTGACATACTGTGCGGGGTATTTTGCACAGTGCCCACTTTTTTGCTTAGGTCAAAACCTTGGGTCGCTGCTTGGCGGCGCCATGTGAATGTGTTTGCAGCGGTCCTTTCATGGGAGATGAGGGGAGTGTTATGTCGAAGTGGCTCCATGCTCAGGTGGTGCATTTGGTCAGCAACTTAATGAACGAGAGGCCGAGAGATGGCCGAATGCATTGGATCGGCCGTCAACACCTCATCCTGTGTACCGCGGCTGAGGTGTGGCGACGTTAGTGAAGTCTCGTGGACGTGTGGGAACTTGGTGAAGTCGGTTTCTTTCCTTCTTCCGATGGCGATAGCTATGGGGTTCTTGCATCAAATGCAGACTGAGTCGGCTGTGCGCGTTTAGGAGACAGGTTGTCATTGCAGGTGCTGTCAGGGCAGACGCTGTACTTGCACCGTTTCGGGTGTTTTTGGAACTGTGTGAGCGCTTGGGATACAGGGTGTCGGTTCAGGTTTGTACTGTTTGTGGCGTCTTTGAAACTAGGTGTGCTGGTGCCTTGGAACTGTGTGGGGTGCAAGTGTTGTCGGCGCAGGTGATGTTTCAGGTGCCACTTTTATCACACGCGAACGGCATGTTTCGCCAAAAAGTGGTGACTTGCTGCTGACGGAGCGGGTTTGTCCACGAATTGTGAATATTGACAGGAACTTTCTCAGGAAGAGCTTTTGCATTTTGTATTCTACCTTGCTATCTGGGGTCTAATGCGGGCTGGTGTAATCTCTTCGGTTTTTTCCTTCCTTCCTTCCTTCCTTCTTTCCTTCCTTCCTTTGTTTTAAGTGCATGTTTTGATCTGATGGTCCCGAAAGATCTGGAGTGATCGCCAAGGCCGTGCATTTAGGGCCCGGATCCAGTTGGTGAAATGGAGTTTTGCATGTGTCAGATGCAACGAAGCCCTTCAATATGCTCTGCAGTAATGTTACAGTAGAAGTTTAGAGCACATGGTCCAGGTGATCAAGCAGATTGACTTGAGCATCCTCTCTCCGATGGCACTGGAGGAATCCCATAAAGAAGTCGGCGTACTCCGACAATTGACTCACAGACACATCGTTGCATATTTTGACTCTTGGCTTTAATGTGGAGATGTGGGTGTATGTATATAGTATAGTTGATGACACTCCATTACAGCTCAGGACACTTTTGTCAAGAGCAATAGCCTGTACATTGTGATGGAGTATGCAGATGGTGGTGATCTTGCATCCTTAATCAAGCAGCACAAGGATGACGAGACACCATTCACTGAAGCAAGTGCTATGACTATTTTTGGCCAATGCCTTTTGGCACTTCAATATATTCATTCGAAGCACATTCTCCACCGCGACTTGGCTCCTGTTGCCCTTGCGAAGAATTGACATACTGGCGCCGCCAAATTTCTTTTTAATGTGCCGGCTGTCCCACTGCCAAGGCGACATCAAGTCACAGAACATTTTCATGATGCAAGCCGGCGATGCCAAGATAGGACCAGTGTGAGATATATACACGTGTGACTTTATCCATTCGTTCTGAGCTTGTGCAGCTGCTAGGGTATGACATGTACCGCAAACTGGGCTCAACCAGGGCCCTTCAGTCACTTGGAAACGAGCCGGTGCTGGAGAGTGTTTCCCAGCCCGGACTCTCACAACACCTCGCCGATCCAGAGCTGACCAGAGTTGTGTTAGCTTGGTTGATTGTGCCTGACTGGAACTATGAGACGAAGAGTGGCCCCTACATCTATGCCGGGGAGCCGGCCGGATTCCACGAATGGGAGTTCAGGACCATAGTGTGCATGAAGTTCACGAACCAGAAGATCGAGAAGAAGATGGCTGAGCTCAAGGACCAGGAGCAAGCCTGAATCATCATCACCCGTGAGGGCTCCGGAACGTGGGCGTGAACGATGCAGACGACATGGACCCCGGACGACAAGCTCGGCCCCCGAAAACGGAGGAGTTGGACATTGATGCCTTTGACTTAGCGAGGAGCAGTGACCCTTTTGCATTCGGCCCTATATGTTTCCTCTGTGCGCTTTGGAGCTTGGGTGCTGGTGCTAGTGCATGGTGCCGCCCCGGGCTTGCTGCCAAATGTCCATGGCAGATTGACTCCTGCGTGTTGGTGTCGCTTCCGGCCGCTGCAGGTGCCGCTGCCAAATGCTTATGGCAGTGGGCCCTTTGGAGTGTGGGTGCCGGTGTCGTGCTGCCCACAAATACTTTGTCCACTCTTTGGGGTCTATGCTGGCGAAATTTTCGTGTCACTACTGTATGTGCTGGTGGCACTTGCTGGCAAAATTTTATTGTCACTATGTGCTGGTGCTTTTGTGGCCATGCGGTTTGTTTTTCTTCCGGCACAGGCCCAAATGGACCAAAAGGCACCAGACAGCTATATGAGTTGTTTAATAGGTGCGACAAAGTGCGGGATAAGGACATCCTGATATCCATCTCTTGTTTTTATGTGGCAGGAGATTTCGGAATCTCGAAAGTTATCGAGGGCACAACCGCTGCAGCTGGCACTGTCGTGGCTTGTTTTCTGATAGAAGCCAGTAAGAATGTCACCGGCTGCGCGTGGTGGCTCTTCATCATGGGTCTCAAGGCCCATGATGTTCACACCTAAGGTCGGAACGCCTTCTTATTTTGCGCCAGAGATTTGCGAAGACAAGCCTTACAATTCTAAGATTGATATTTGGTCAATGGGCGTTGTGCTCTACGAGATGCTGGCGTTGGCGCAGCCATTTGCCGCATCAAATGTTGCTGCCATGATCATGAAGATAGTCAATGCAGAGCCAGCCCCGTTGCCCCCAGATTGGCGCCCAGAAGTTTGCGACGCCGCTTGTTTGAGTCTATTTGTTGTGGGAGATCTTGGCTAGAAATTTGCGGGAGAATTGTGAGTAAGGTTGTTCGACGCGCCCTCAATAAAAATGCCGATGAGCGACCAAACGCAGAGGATTTGCTTGCACTCCCCGCTGCAACTTGGCAGGCCGTAGCCATGCAAAATGTTTGTTCGTCACAGGCACGGCTTGTGGTTCTCAGCCATTGATAGTACAAAAATCAGATTCAAATTTTTGCCATTTTGTATATGTCTATTTTGCTTGCCATGTCACCATCGAACGGCCTTACATTCCTAGATAGTGCAAGTTCTTTTGCCAATGCTAGTTTGTTAAGGTTCTTCGAACAGTTTTGGCCGCTGAGGTCAGCTGCAACGACACTTCTTTGCATTGAGTTGCAGGTATCATAGCTCTTGCTTTAGTGGCCGTGTTCCAGGTGTTGCCGCATGCGGATCAGACAACGGTTCTTTCAATGGACCATTTTGAGAAGATCGATACTCTTGGACGAGGAGCACATGGTGGGATGCTCAACGATCCTGGGACTGACCCAAGATGGTAAGGCGCTAAATGCCCAGACGTGCCAGTTGAAGGTATTGCCATTTTGGTGAAACAGAAATTTGCTGGCAGCTCTGCGGCTTTGCGTGTTGTGGGATGCTCAAGAGTTTGCAAGCTGTTTTACACAAAGATGCCCAAGCACAAACTGATTTGCTTTTTTAGGTAAAGACTGTTGACTTCAGCCGGATGTCGGAAGAGGCTCAGAAAGGTGCTAAAGATGAGGTTGCCCTGTTGTGCCGGCCACAGTTGACATTCTACAAACATCAGGTTTCAGCTCTTGATGCCCCACTTTAGGCGTCGACTAGCACATCCGCACATCATTGCCTACTATGATGCATTCTTTGAGGTGCTGAGTCTGGTATATTCTTTCTTAGGGGGCTGATACGATGTCAAGCTGCCCACTGAGTTGTTGCGCTGCAGGCTGACCAGCTGCACATTGTCTTAGAGTATGCTGATGGAGGCCAAATGAGTACATAGTGAGGAGTTGAGAGATATCCATTCATGAGTAAGAGTTTGCCAGGCGATCTCTTCACTGCGGTGCAAAGGTTCGGAGTGCAAAGTTTGCTATATACTATAGCTGCCAGCATGTCGATGCCGAAGGCGACGAGACGAGGAGTCGCACTTCAGTGATGAGGAAGCCATGCATTGGCGTGAGTCCTATGAGTCCCTGCTCTTCGCTGACAACTTTCAGTTTGCCAAACGTGAGGTTCCGGCAGTGCCTGTCAGCTCTATGCTACATCCACAAGAAGAAGATTCTTCATCGTGACATCAAGACCCAGAACATATTCCTTATGAAAACTGGCGATGCAAAGCTTGGAGACTTCGGAATCTCAAAGGTGATGGATGGAACGATGGCTGAAGCTGGAACAGTGGTGGGGACGATGCTTGGCTTTTGACTCGTGCTCACTTTGTGTTTCATAAATAGTGCTGTCCATCTTGTTGTTCACGACGTGAAGAGTTTAAGGGTTTGGGGGTTCACCTTGTCCGCAGTTTTTGGTGCTGATTCGCTGGTTTGCTGGTCTGTTGGTGCTGATTTGCTGCTGATGTTGTTTGTCGGGTCTGTCGAGTGACCATCAATATCTCTGGTCCGCGTTCTCCAACCCAACATGTTTGTGCCCATTGTAGCCCTTCCCATTTCTCTCAAACTTTTTGTCCACAAGCTGCGCCTGGTCCACTTACAACACCTTTTGTAGTTTCAGTTTGTATTGTGGCTCACACCCAGCCAATGAGGCCAGCGTACTTGGCAGCTAAGACGCAGTGAGAAGACAGGGGGTGCAAGAAGCAGTTGCCCGCCGTTGCCCAGGCCCCTGAGATTTGCCAGAATGTGCCATATGGTGCCGAGCCAAGAGCGCTTCAATTGTCAATTCCGAGCACCTGCGGCTTGAGGCAGTAGAATCGACGTGTGGTCGTTGGGCACTGTGCTGTATGAGTTGCTAGTGCTGAAGCAAGTGTCTCAGTTTGTGGCCACACTCAGAACGAACAGTTCCAATGCCCACCCAATCCTTGAGGCATCCCTTTCAGAGCAGCAACATGGCAGCCACTGTGCTGAAGATCATCTCTTCAGAACCTGCACCGCTTCCCACACGTTGCAGCCAGGAGGCCGGCGGCGTGGTGTGGTGGAGCTACAGTTTTCAACATGGTGGAGCTACAGTTTTCAACAAGTTTCTGATAAATTTGTCACAGGTAAATCAAATTGTCCAGCTCTGCTTGCAGAAAGACCCGTCCCGGCGGCCGTCCGCAAAGGCCGGGTTTTTGCGAGCCCTTCCTGTGATGCCAGATGTATCGCTTGTGTGTAGGAGCTCCTCGCTCATCCTGCTGTCAAGGGCTTTGGTGAAGAGACTGCACGGCCCGAAGCACAGCAAAGGAGAGAGGGTGAGAACAAGAGTGAGCCGCGTTTAAGCTTTTGTCAGGAGAGAGAGAGAGAGAGAGAGCGAGAGAGAGAGAGAGAGAGTGGCTCAAGACTTGAAGCCGGTTCACATGCTGTGTTGGTGGCATTGGCACTACAAGGTTGTGATCTCCTTTGGCCTTCCCTATTTCCTAGGTGGCCTTGCCCTTGCCCGTAATTGAGGTGGAATATATCGAGGCAATCTTCCTTGGTGGTGGGTGGGGACTATGACCTCCAATGGATGGGACGGTTTCCGCAAGATCAGAGCAAGAAGATCCTACCTTGTATGTCACGGGTGTGAAAGCTCATGGATTTGGTCAGACAGGGTGAGTATGAGCAGGTGGTGCTGTGACCACTGTGGGCGTCAATGGCCCAATTTGAAGCATGAGCAGTCATCCGCCGTGCGGCAGCTCACCAACTGACCCTGAGCTGACCAGTGAGGTCCACTGCAGCCGGCTTGGCTGGCGTCAGGACAGATTGAACTGTCGTCCTCACTTCTTCAGGAAGACCCTGAAGATGAGCCTTCAACAGTCAGTCCGCTCCCATGACTTTCAAGGCGTCTTGCAGCTCTTTTGGCATGTTCGACCCACCTTTCTTCAAGGTAAGCTCAACAGTACTGGGAGACTCAACCTTAGTGGTTCTCCTCGGTCTGGGCTTCCGCGTGGGCTCCGTCAGCTCTCCAATCGGAAGCAAACCTTGCAGAAGAAGGTTGATCAGCCACAGCAAGATCCTGCTGGAGGAGTTGAAGTCTGTCCAAGAAGCTACTGACAAAGAGCGCAAACAACTTGGGGATCAGTCAGCCGAATACTCTGGCTCTCCTGCTCTTGAACATATTCTGGGTCCAGACACCACGGAGCACGTGTTGAAGGCAATGGGGCAAGCGGGAATAACTTTCAATGGTGGTCAACAAAAGGAGCTGGAGCGGCTGTTGGCAGACTCTTAGCAAAGCGCTGCATGACAAGGGGTGACACCCAGAAGAGTGGGTAACACTTTCTGGTTGACACCTGCAAGGGGCCAAAAAGTGGGCAGTCCTCTCTCAGTGAAGGGGTCGTGTGGGACAGATTGCTCCGTGTGGCAGCACCTGGGGGATAGGATAGATCAAACTATTGGGAATGTTTGAGTGTATGGAAGTCAAGGGATGTCGTGTGATTGGCTTGGGGAAGGGCCACGCATGATGAAATTATTTGTGACGGACAGCGTGCAACGGAATTTGAGTTGATGCAACTCTTGCAAGTTTTGTAGACTCCTCTCCTTGGATGGCGGGTGCTGTGTGTGGCAGCATGGGGACTGATGAGTCTAGGCCAGCCAGATGAGTGGGAAACTGGCGCCAAGCTCTTCTTCGTCTGAGCAGCTCCTTGGCGAGACTGCTACCATCGGGACCTGTGTGCCTGCTTCTCTTGGCGGGCCCCTGACCCTTGTAGGAGGAGGAAAGCGGACTTTGGAAGAGATGGATGGATGAAGCCAAAAAACAGATCCACAGGCCAAGTGAATTGATTGCTCATCTCACACCGCTGGTGGACCGGCTTCAAGAATTCCTTGCCCAGGCTTTCCCTTGATGTGTTGGAGGCCACGGACTTCAGCATCAAGGATAGCAAAGTGTGGGCTCTGGAGATTATGAAAGGGGTGCAACTCGGACACTTCACCTTCACAGCGCTGGAGTGGGACCAGCCTCTGCGTGAGGCATTCCCAGTGCCATGGAGCTGATGGCGGCAAACTGACGCTGGTGTTGAAGAATCCAGGGAAGCTGTTTTGCAAAGTGTGTTTTGCGAGCGTGGTGCTGGGTGGGAGCTTTTCATGATGACCCGCAGAAGGTTTGGTGCCAGACAACCCCTCTGTGCCTCCAGCTTCTGCAGCAGCCCCTCATTGATATCTTTCTTGCGTCAGAAATTGATCGCTTCTTGGAACAGATGGAGCGCCCTGAAGCTCAGCAAGATGCATCGGAGTTCCCCGGGAGAGAGCCAACATCCAGAACTGCCGAGGCCTACACGGAGCCCGGGAAAGTCTCATGGGCGCCAGGATTTGGCGCCGTGATACGGTGCCCATCTTCGTCAGGATGAACCAGGACCAAGACGCACGTCAAGGAATTAGCCATTGAGGCACCATTGAGTCAGCGGGCAATGAAGCAATGTCTGGCAGAGCGTTGAGCATGTGGCCTTCCATATTGGCCGGTACGGCCTCATTGGGAAGGATTGGAAGAAGCGTCAGAATCCCCTGCTTCTTGAGTTGAGGTTTCAAGTGACGCAGCGCACTGCTACAGGGCATTCCAAGTGGACGTTGGGTGACGACAGAGACTCTGGCCACTACACTTGTGGTCTGCTGGCTGGAGACTCATATTGTGATGATGAGCAACACCAACATTGGTGGACACTTGGCCAGAAGACATCACGAATGGGGCATGCCCCCCAAAGATACGGCACGCTCCTTTCTGGATTGAGCTGGTGGGCCACTTTGCCAAAACTGCTAAGAAGCGGAGGGCTAGTCATGATGGCATTGTGGTGCTATGCGGGAATGTCACCAACTGGAATAAAAGGACGTCCGCCAATCGATGCAAATCGATGCAACGGGACACAACTGAAGCCATCTTGTTGGTAGAGACCGGGTGGTGACGAACTGAGCACTGCCATGCCAATGGCCAATGCGCAGCCCAGTACCATGGGCGTTCCTATGACTACCAGGGTCATGTCTTTCGCGCCAACGATGGAGGCGGCGGTCATCAGCACCTACTTCAAGAGTGGAGACGATCTGACACCTGTCACCAATGGAAAGGTGCTTGCAGAGCTCACTTCAATGGTGAAGGACTTGGCTATCCCATGGCTGGTCATTGAGGACTTCAACGCATGGCCCCTGTTGAGAGCAACAGATGAGTCCACGATCCTCACTGGCAATGAACTTGATTACGCCTTGGTGGCAAGAGATCTGGCACCTTTCGCGACCCTCTCCGTTGCCCTTGAGGTTCCTTTTCTTGACAGGATGCGAAGGCACCTCCCACCAAACTATAGCGCAGAGCATGCTGGCAACAACATCAGGAGCTGAGGCGGTGAAGAAAGCAGTTGAAGGCAAGAGGTCATCAACAACAGGTTGGTCAAAATTGATCGCAAAGCCCAACATCTTTGACTATAAGTCACAAGAATTATGCTATTCAGAGAGGATCTTTGAGAAGTACTTGAGTGCAGTTGATGAGGGCTACGTGAAGGAGTTGAAGGAAATTCATGAAAAGCAAAATGATAAATTTGACAAGGACTTGGCAAATGAGGCAGAGAATCCCAGGTGCATCAAGCTATGAATTGTTAGTTAGATCGTTGATGAGCGGAAGGGCGCTGCAATTGATGAAACCGGTGGAAGACTCCAATGGGTTTGATGTCTGGACAAGGTTGAATAAAGCTTTGAAACCAATTTCAAAAGCCAACTTCAAAGGCAAGAGGCTTAGCGCTCTTGGGAGCAGCCACTACATGGCCAGCATTTTCAACGAATAGTGCGCTACAACCTCAACTCTTGAAGCTTGAAGAAGTATTTGATGAGACAGTCAAGTCATGAGTACGGTTCAGGAAGGGTTGAAATCTGCTATTCTTTGGACTTTGTGGGTGGACAGCGCAAATCCCACTTGAACAATACTCAACTTTGAGGGAACAAGTGTTGCAATGGGTCGCTGTCAACAGAAGTGGGCTACTTCCATGGTTGGCCAGTAGCAGTACAGACTACCAAGGCCCTATGCCAATGGACGTTGATCGAGTCCCAGATGCCAAAGGACAAGGTAAGAGAAAGGAAAGGAAGGTGGTCATAAATAAGGGCAAAGGTAATGGCAAAGCCCAGAAAGGCAAAGGTTGCAACATGTTACACTTGTGGAAAGCCAGGGCATCTTGCTAAAGACCTTGGGGGAACAATATTCGACAGGTAGCAAGTGATCAAGCCCATTCATCTTCAGGAGGAGAGCATTCGTGACTACCAATACAGTTGGTCAACAGCATGCCGTGGGCAAGAAGTTCTTCTCAAAGAGAATGTGATCTTCAGTTCAAAGGTGAATCAACCCATACTTTGTTTATGGAAGATTGATGGAACATGGTTGGGGAACCAACAGCAGAGGGCCAATGTTGGAGCATGGTGACCTACAAAACCGCTCTTTGACAGTTCAAGGCCGCATTAGAGTCATTCGAGATGAAGATGATACAGTAGCTATTTGGAGGTGCAGGTACCAGCTTTGGAGAAAGAATCAAGTTGGAGACTCAATGAGCGCAGGCTGCTAGTTGGAAGCTTATTGACTTCGCACCGTCAGTCCAGAAGTGGAAGGATCACCAGAGTTAATGAGAACCACTGTGGTGAAAAGAGGAGGCAGATGGTTAATGCTTGAATATTGTAGTTAATGTATGAGTATTGTGAAAGCACGATGAAAAGGTTAGAACTTGATGAGAAAATCGTTGATGATGATGCCGTCGTTCCTTCGATCACAATCTTCAGCTATGAGCCAGCACCGCTATTGGCGCTTGGAGACATTCTCAGGTTCAGACTGGAGTGGGAACAGAAGCCACAGAAAGTCAACGTCAGGAGGATTTCGTGCGCTGAATAGTTGTCCATTGTTCAACAGCAGCAGAACACAGCAGAACTACATGCGATAGTTTCCTCAGCATCAGTTGGAATCTACATTCGGGCAGTTCTGGAATGGTGGGCCATTATACATCTTCACAGATTCATCAAACGCACGCCAACTTGTGATGAAGAGAGGGGTTGGAAAAGTCAGACACTTGGATGGGCAGCTGCTATGGATTCAAAACAGGGAAGGCTTCAAGATGGTACAGGTACCAACAGATTGCAACATGGCAGACCTCAGCACAAAACCACTTGGAGGACAAAGAACCAGATGCTTGATGAACCTCATTGGGTATTGGCAGTGAAGACCAAATCAGAGTAGGAGAGCACCCATGTTGGGCAAAGTGTCTGTGTTCCAAAATGATCCCCAAGGTGTTGTAAGATTGCAGTCTGAGTAGCTTTGTCACGGGTCTCTGTTCCATCCGCCAGCCTTCTTTTGTCAAATCGGAATTGCTGGTCGTTGTTTTTTGGGAGTTGCTTTTTGCCTTTTTGGTTATTTTCGTAGCTGATGCATTTCCCACTCGGAGAAAGGCAGGAAAAGAGGTTCATGATCGCTGAGGCTGGAATCTACTAGCTCAGACCTTGGTTCCACCTGGGGCCCAATCGTGGAGGAGGTGTGTGTTAGTGTTGAAATCCTTTATTCGGGCCCTTACCTTGACCTTCGTTTGCAGGACGGCGAAGAGTCAGCCACTCTTGATGGAGGCATTGGTGTCATTTCGGTTTGCTTCGCAAGGAAATCGAATGATTGGATTTGAGGTCAAACACGCCTTTACAAAGGCGAGTTTTGCATTGCAGACCCTGATGGCGACAGATCCCTCAAGGCAGAGGGATGCGTGGCCCAGTGATCAACATGAGTTGGGAGATTGTTCCCCACCCCACATCACTATGTGGGGCACTGCAGGGTTCTTGTTTTTTGCTCTGCGCCCACCGCTCCGTCTTCCCGTCCCGTCTTCCGTCCCTCCACTCATCTCACACCACTCACTCATCACACACCACTCATCTCACACCACTCACTCATCACACACCACTCATCTTACACCACTTATCACACACCACTCATCACTTACACTCATCACACACCACTCATCTTACACCACTCATCACACACCACTCATCTGACACCACTCATCACACACCACTCATCACTCACGCTCATCACACACCACTCATACACCACTCCTCTGACACCACACCACTCATCTTACACCACTCATCACAAGCGGTCGTGTGGCAGGCGCAGTACACAGAGCCTTCAGGAGGACCTGCGGGACGCGCGGGCGCCGCTGGGCCGCGGTTGCCTTTCGTGTGGCCTGGCAGGCGCAGTACACAGAGGCTTCAGGCCGCGAATCTGTGCAAAAATCCTGCAGCGTTCTTTGGACAGGACTCATCGCACGGCGCACTCATCTCATACCACTATTACATCACATCAGACCCACATCACACACACACACATCAGAGACACACACACACATATCACAGACGCAGACACACGTCTCTCAGTCATTCGCCTCATCTCACTCAACTCAATTCAACTCAACTCAAGTCAACTCAACTCATCTCGCTCTCTCCCTCTCTCTCTCCAGTATTTTTCCGTCCTCTTTCTCTACTTCTCGTTGCTAGTTCTTACAAGCTTAACATGTGGTGTTATCCGGTCCTTTTATTTTTGTTTGTTATTCTCGAATGAATATCGAAGGGTTCTCGTTCGCGACTCGTTGTCTGAGCGACCGCAACCGTTGTCAACCATTCGCAACCGTCCGCAGTAGACCGCTAAGGCGCTGCCATTGGGGAAAGCTTTTGGAGAGGGTTTGGGATGGAAGCGTGATGGGTCAGATTCGTGTGAAATAGCGTGGAAACGTGTGGAAACGTAAGATGTTGAAGTGTGGGGGATGATTTCACTGCACAGGCATAGCATTTTGTGAGATCGGCAGTTTTCTGCGCAGGCGTTTGGGGTGGTGTTTTTGTGGTGTTGGGTGCGGCTGTGACATTGGGATTTGCGTTTCAGGGTGTTGCATGGAAGCTGCGTTTTCGTGACCAGTCTCAGCTCAAATGGCGATTTTTGTGGATGGGAGTGAGCTCAGAACGTGTCGAAATCATTCCAAACGTGTGGTGCGGCGCAAATTTTTTTTGAAGCTCACATGATATGATATTGTCACTTTTCGTGGCGGGCGCAGTACTTTGTGCGGGTTTTGAGGTGTGGAAGTACGATTTTCGTGGCAGGCGCAGGGAATCGCGAGGTTGCGAGGTGTGGCGGAGTCGCTGTGACATTGGATTGGCGTGTGGGCGGGCGTTGTTTGGAGGGGCTGGAATCGCCAAACTGCTTGGCAGTCTTGAACTGCCTGCTTCGTTGTCAGCAGGGATGTACTCTTCTTCACCGGTCTCCTGATGCCATCGGTGTCCAGGCATGTGGCGCCATAGCGACATTGATCAAAATCCGCTCGTTGGCCTGGTAGATCACGGAGTGCACGAGTGCGCCAGGACTGCGCATGCTTGGGCTGTTCCAGATGACAGTGCCGTCCATGATGAACCTGTCGCAGGTAGACTCGGCGACAGAACATCAAGTGCCGGTCGGGATGGTGTTGTCGTGCTGCTTGAAGGGGCCTCCTGCTGAGCGGGTGTGCGACGTCCAAGGGACTACGTGCGACTCCACAACTTGCAATCCGGTGCCAGGAGGATCTCATCAGGGCATTCTTCATCTTGAATGTCCAGTTGGTGGGACAAGTTGTTGAAGCCCCATCCGGTCTCATAGGAGAATCTCCGCACCTCCATTCCAAGAGTTTCCGCCACCTGTGAAGTGCGTGACGCTCCACAATAGACTTCCCAGAGTTTCCGTCGAGATTCTTGGGGATGTAGCTGCTTGGTGACATAGGCTGACAGCTCATTGAGGTGAGTGTTCAAGTGGATGTCCATAGTCTTGAGATCATGGCGACGAAGAGGCTTTGTGTGGATGCAATGAGCTCCTCTAGGAGTTCTGACACACTAACAACTCTCCTCCTTCTCAAACTCAGCGAGAGGGATGCCCTCTTCCTGTACTCACGGCGCCTCGATGATGGGTCGGCCCAGCATGGGTGTGTGTCTAGGAAGCAGGAACAACTGCACTGTCCCATAGCGACCATCCAGGAAGATAGGCAAGTGGGCGCTCACAACTCGACCAAGAAGCTGCATCTCCACCAAACTGGAAGCGACGCCGGCGATCCTCAAACATGATCACGCCGTGCTCCTCTTCACAGAGTTGAGCCATTCCCTCAGTTGGCGCAGGACGTTTCAGGCTCGAGCCCTTGGAAGTCGAGCTCTGTGGGCATCACTCTTCCCTGCGCCTTGTGGTGGATAGGGCACTGTTGTTGATGACTTCCCTTTTGACTTGCCACCTTTTCCCTTTCCTTTTCTCTGCCAAGACGTTGGGCTCGACGTGGATGAAGATGCACCGGTTGTCAGCCAGGGCTACAACTGGTAGAAAACCTCGAGCCATCTTCAACTCATTGAACCTGCGTCTGGCATCCGTGTAGGAGGCGAATGCTGTGTCAAATTCCTCAGCCAGGTGTTCAGGGCTGTTGGATTCTGTGGCCTCCTCAAGCCACGGTTCCTCGCCATAGTAGGCGGCATCAGCATCGAACTCCTCCTCCTCCTCCTCAAGCTCATAGTCGGCCACTTGTTCATCATCTTCATAGTAGCCGGTCTCATCCTCCCAACCATAGTCATCCTCCTCCCACCAGTCGCCCTGTGCGGCATAGGCGCGACTGCTGTTGCTCCATCGTTGAAAGCACTTGTTGTAATCCTGGCCCAGGATGAGGTAGAGCGCTGCAAGGTGTTGAAGTATCCCTCAAAGTCTGCAGGGAGCTGTTTCCATCTAACCTTCAACATGGACTCAAAAGCGTCCTCCAGCTCGAATTGCTCCAGTGACCAGTCGTCGAAGAGTCGCCAGACCACGCCCTTAAAGCTACTTGGATGGTCGGCTTGGTTGCTATCTGTCTGGCGTCTTTAGCCTACTTACATAACTGCTGCAACCTAAGATATAAATTCTCTAACCTAGGTTATTAACTCTGCTAATCTTCCCAACTTGTTGGAGATGTTACTAAGTCTTCGCGCTCCGATATATCTACATACTAAGGAGGACAAGTAGTTGGCCCAACATTGGGCTAGATACGATTCTACTTACACATGTCAGCCATCTGATTTGGCGACGTTAGTATGTTGTTTGGCTTGGTTAGTTACTTGGGCAACTGCAGTTACTAAGTTCGGCGGACAGCACTTAGGCAAGTTGCGCGGCTTACTTAGCAAGTCTGCCCGAGGATACTTAGCGGCCCACTTAGCTGCGCGCCGTGGCCTACTTAGCAAATAGGCCGGGCTTGCTTAGCAAGTGTGCCCAACCCTCTTAGCAAGTATGCCTTAGCCTACTTAGCAAGTGTGCCCGGCCCACTTAGCAAGTGTGCCAGGCCTACTTAGCAATGAAGCCAGAGGGGAAAAATGTTGTTGACTTGTGCATATGTAATTACATGTATATAGAGTTTATACCAATCCATGGGGCGCATACAAACAACAGGCAATGGCAGCGAAAACAATTGCAAAGAACCTTGCGCTTGGCCACAAGCAAAGCGTAACATATGCAAAGCCATGGCTTGGTGAGTTGAATAACTTTCTTATTTTTTTTTGAGGCTGTAATTTGCGTGGCTATTCCTGGTCCATGGCAGGAATTTTTTTCACACGATCCCAAATACGTACCCAGCGAGCTTCCCATATATAGGCGGAGGGTTGCCCTCACACCCGACTTGCGCTGTTGGTGCTTCAGTGCTTCATGTGTCATGTGAACTTGAAGTGTGTGTTGTCCTTTTTTAAAGACTTGCTGATTTTACGCATTGGGCTTCACCGCGCAGTTTGCAGAATGTGTTCTCGAAACCCGCAGCCAATAAAACCAGCAATCTTACAGTAACTTCATAGGGTCGAGTTCTTCACTGGTTGAAAGTGCACAGAAATAACCAGGAGTAATTTGTTTCAGGGACACTGGTCAGATCAACTTTGACATTTGTGTGGCGGCACCTGTCTCGCTGGGCTAGTCTCGCGAGTGCATGGCGCTTGCAGCCGCCGCCGAGAGCGTGGAGGGATGCTTAGCTCGTGCAGAGGAGGGATCGTTGGCTTCGTCTGTGCAAACAATCTTGGAGACGTTGACGGCGCACAAGCTAGCTTGGCATCAGGACATCTTGCCGAAGTTCATTGGCATTCATCAGTCCAACCGTGACTCAGCTACTGAGGTTAGGAAAGGTAATGCCTTTATATAGATAAATATAGAACAAACTAGAAAACCATCTAAGGTCACTTGACAAGTTTTGATCAACAAAAAATTTGTATACTGCCATTCCATGCAGTTTATATGGAGACGTTGCCGGTACTCAGAAGTGTCTGTTTTCCTTGCCTGTCTAAATTCAGAGGTGACGGCGCCGGTATTTCAATTGCCCATTGCCACGCTTTGGTCGACGGGTTCAGCAGCGTTGGCTTCCACAAGGCCTTCGCGCGAAACATATGCGTGGAGGTGTTACCAGGAGATGTTGACACTGTGCAGTTCAATGAGCGGCTAGTCCTGGAGTCAGCTGGAAAACTACCTGGGCTTCATGCCCTGAGGTTTGCGTCGATCAGTGGATCGCGCACAAATGCGTGCCTTCGTTGCATCAAAGCGGAGGTGGTTCATGAAAAAGGCGATGAATCAATCACGGAAGGTGGTCGCGTGTCTTTGACAAAGGTGAGGGCCAAGGATCCATGTCTCGCAGAGGCGGTTTGCAGTGGGATGCTGGCTGGTCATCAGCAGGGATGCTGTTGATCGCTGGCCATCCCTGCCTCAGGTGATCCAGAGTGCTGCCAATAGCGCAAACCACTTGTCAACTGGAGAATCTGAGTTGCA